AGTCCAGATGTTTACAATTTGGCCTATCTACTCTAGTTGAACGTCGCAAACAAGGTGACCTTATCCAAAAAATACAAAACTGTTAATAACATTGACATAATCAACTGGCACTTTCCCCTCATCACAATTTCACCAAGAGCAAATCACAGAGAAAGACTTCATCGTGAAAAGTACAGTAACCATTTAGCTCGCTTCCACTTTTTTAACAATCGCATTGTCAATGCATGGAACATGCTACCAGATAAAGTAATCAATTCTCCAACTGTCAACAGTTTTAAAGCAAGCCTCGATAGGCTCTAATGTTACTACAGTTCGCAGCTTTCCTTAGTGAAAATTGCAATATGAGCTTCACAAAAACTAACTGTAATCTGTAATCTATGATTTGTATTTTGTCAATTATTTTTACTTTTGTTGTAACAAATATATACTACTAAATATTTACTACTACTACTACTACTACTACTACTACTACTACTACTACTACTACTACTACTACTACTACTACTACTACTACTACTACTACTACTACTACTACTACTACTACTACTACTACTACTACTACTACTATACTATCTATTAAATACAAAATGGAATTGATATGTAAATGCAGACACAAAAAGTTTTTCTTAAAATTAGAAAAATAAGTAAGCTAATAAACTAATAATAAAAAGTTCCCATTAAAACCCGGTTGGACCCGTTAGTGAATAGCTAGCAGTATATTGCGGTCAAATAGCTAGCGATTTGACCGCAAGGATTACTAGTTAAATAAGTTAGCAACTAGCTAGCGAAATGTTGTAATGATTAAGACAGCAATTTGGCCACGAGGATTGCTAGCTAGGAAAGCTATCAAAAATATTTGTTGTTACCTATGTTACCTTTCAAAAATATTCATACTTATTCATATTTATGCCACATATACTATAACTATTTTTATTATTAATCAAAGACAGCTTCATAAACCAACTACACAACATGTGTTGTATTATATTAATGCATCAGATATCTACTAATAACAACCAAAATTTTTTCATTTTTTGCTTGCAGTTACATCTTTTATTATTATTATTACTTTGGTAGATTTATTTAAAATAGTCAATAGCTACAAAGCTATGATAATTAGCTATCAAAGAGATTCAGACTTGTCATTATATTATAGTTAGCTACAATAATATAATAATAATAATATATATATATATATACTATTATTATATGTTAATATAATATAACAATAATAATAATAATTATTATTAATATTATTATCGTTATTATATTTATATTATATTGTTATTTATATGCAAACATATTGTTATAAAATCGTTAAATAGAAACTTGCAAAATGTATATACATGTTATATATCTATAGCCACTTAGTAGCTATAGATTTGTTAGTGGCAAATTATTTATTAGGCAAATTAGGCTCATAATTTTATCACAAAAATAAAAAAGTTAACTGAAAAAATTAATTGGGTTTTAAAGATAATTTGAACTATTAGAACACTTAGATAATGACAAACATTGACAAATTATGAAAGTTATTTCTTGTCCAGAGATTTTATGACTTATCAAAGATCAGACATCTCATGATTACATGATACAATAAGACAGCACATGAAGTACAATGATGGCAGCTCATGATGTACAATGATGGCAGTCAACAACTGTCACTTTTTTTGAAATTATGTAAAAAAATATATTTTGAAATAAGTTTTTGTGTACAAAAAAAAGTTACAAACCTATTAAAGTTGATAAGACTGAAGTTGATGGAAACTGCTTGATTCAAGTCTTTAGTCAGGAAGGTTATTTATGCCAAGATATTTTACAAAATAATACATCAAATAGCAATTAATAATCTTTTGAAAAAGGAATACAAAAATACTTTTTGAAACTTAGAAATCAGTTTTAAAATATATCAGTGATTTAAAAAATGAACAAAAATGGACAAAATTTGGGACACTGATGTTGATATAACAATTGTAGTGTACTCTAAACCTCTTGAAGCTTTGTATTTTTTTTGTACTCTTAAAAACTTCAACATGCAAATGGTTTTAAAGTAATAGAAATAAAAGAAAATGGTCAAATAAATTATCATTCAAACACTGGTGCAAATTGAATCATACAAGGTTCACCCAAATTTTTATCCAATTTGGTTATGATTTCATTCTTAGGTAATTCCCATATTTAAACATCAAATGAAATAGAAAAGCTAATCTATGCATCCAAATTTATTGTTTAAAAAAAAAAAAAAACTATTACTACATTAAAATTTAGCACTTTTTTTATTCAATGAGCCTTTTTTTTTTTTTTTTTTAATTTAATGCTTTTAATGCTTTTAACGGATTTAATGCATTATTCAGAGACATAAAAAAATTAGGAAACACAAATTTAAAACATTTTTTCCAACCTGATTCATTTCAATTTAATTTTCGGATGATTTTATATCATTCTTAGCTTTAATTTTAGATAAATGTTATTTTAACATAGGTTTAAGTTAGGTTAAGGTTTGGTTAATAAATTCATTCCAAACAAAGTAGTCTAACTGGTCAGGAGAATTTGGCCAATGTTTTTTGTCAACTACAGCTAGAAGCTTGTTTCTATACCATTTAAGGGAAAAGTGTGACCAATTTCGTCAACTTGCTGAAATATCCAATTGTTACCAAGTTGATCAATAGATTATTACTTATGAACAGACATTATCTACAACTTATGGTCAGCTTCTCTATGATTTACAGCCCAGAATTTTTTGTTTTGTGTATTGCATAGGCACATCTTTTTATCAGAGAACAACATTTGTAATGCTTTTTATTTGTTTTCTAAAATTGTTTCCTTCTGAATATGTAAAAAATTTTTTTGACTATAAGCAAGTACCTTTTTAAGTCAAAATTTTTGAAGTCAACATTTCACAAGTCAACATTTTTCAAATCAACATTATTCATTACTTAAAATGAAACAAAATAACTTTTTTGGTAGAAAAAATAAAATCTTAAAAAAAATTTGTCTGGTACCACAAAAATTTGAGAAGCTAAATTAAAAAGAAAAAATGTAACATTCTTTTAAGACACCCATTAATTTTAAACTCTAACTTTAAAAATTACACCCATATGTCATGATTTCATATATTCATGTTTACACTTCTGAAAAAGGAAAAAATAATACTTTTTGAAAGAGACCTATATAAGACTGTTATTTTTTAAAATATATTGTTAATATACAATTAAATAAAAACTTCTATGGATGTAACTTTTTATTTTTAAACTGATTTTACCACAATACTTCAATGGAGTATAGATAATTTCGTTAATAAGTATAATATAAATACAAAAAGACTGTTAAAAACAAAATAAAAATAAATAAAAGCAATAGTTTCTTTTGATTCAAAAATCGAAACATTGGTTTCTAAAAGGAGGTCATGATATAACCTTTATCATTCTGATTCAGACTGCCATCTAAATGTGCACATTCATGTTGCATTTCAAGTGCCCCCCTCATTTTTCTGTTAAAATGATTAAACATAACTTTTAGAGTATTTTTATTGTTACATGGAAAATTACCATAAGAATTTTTTAAATATTCCGCTATTGCTAAATTTTCCCATTTTCTTTTGTATGCATTTTGATGGTGGTTATTTTGTTTAACTGATATAACTTTTTTTGCAGGCGCATTCAAGTTTGTACACACCTGCCGATGTATCTTAAAACAATGCCGATGTATCCTGAAACAAATTTTTTCAAACTGTTAATCATTACCTAAAAATTTTTGTGATTATTAAATTTTTTTCTGGGATTAGATCTGTAAACTAAAAGAACGTTTTTCATACTTAAGCTAAAATAAAAAAATAAATTTTTTTCATTAATTATTAAACATTAATTTTGATTAAAGTACAGTAACATTAACATCTTTTTTTATTCATTATTAATTTCGTTTGAATCTAATGAACTGGGTTCAATTTTTTTTAAGTCTCTTTTTTCCTTTCCAATCCTTTTCTTTTGTAGACAACTCAATTTTTTATTTTTATACTGTTTATAACTGAATATAATATTCTTAACTAAAAACTATGCATGTGACTTGTTTACAAAAGTATAATGTAAAAATATACTGCAATTTATGTTTAAAGAAATAAAAGTCAAAATTACCAAAAAAAAATTGTTTACAAAAATTTTTTTTTTGTTGTTTAATCATTTTAATTTGCAATTTTTATTTACCAACCTTAAGTTAAAATAACTAAGGAATAACAAAAAATGAAACAACAAACGAAATGAAACAACAAACAAAAATATCAACAAAAAAAATTGACAAAATACTTCAAGTTAGTGTAACTTGAAGAATTTTGTAAATTTTTGTTGTTGTTAATGTTTTGTTGTTGTTGATGTTTTCGTTGTTTCTTGTATTTTCTGGATTGTTTTTGTTATTATAAGAATTTTAAAATTTAAATATTGTTGAAAGTCAGTATGTAATCTATTAATAAATGATAGAAAAAATATTGAATTAAATAAAACTAATCGCAATATCAAAGTGCTTTTTAAAATTATATTTCACAGTATTTGTACTTTTCACGTTACTTAATGTCAAAACAAGAAATCTTTAAACTATTTATCTATTTAGTAATGTATAATTAACAACTGGTTTTGCGATTTTTTTAGAAGAAAATGATTTCGATTCGAAAAAAATTAAAAAAAACCCTGTTGATCAGTTGCAACTTCCACCGGCTGTCAAGCCCTACTACTGATAGTACTGTGCTCAACTTATTTGAAATTCATGTTGAAATCAAAATCTCAAAACATTACAACCATTGAAAAAAGAATTCACAATTTCTGAGCAGGAGATTTCATTTAATTGGTTTTTGTCAAAAAACTCTAGCAGAAATTTATTTTAAACAAAATAATAACTAAATAAAAATTTTGATTACAAATGTTAGCGAAAAATATTTTTTAATAGATATTCATTTTAAATAAAAAATAAAAATTAAACATTTCAGTTATGTTAAAAACTCTGTAACTAAAAACCTCAAATAATTGACTGTTGTCTGCATCAGCTCCACCAAAAACTTCTTCTTCATCATCAATAAACTCTGCATTTACACTCTGAGAAAGTTTCTTATGAGTTTGATCTTCAAAATGTTGCTAAAATATTAAATCATATTTATCAAATCCATTAAAATACTGTTTCAATAAAATCAGGGACAAACCCAGATTTGTTTTGGTTCTATTAAAGTGATATAGCCCCTAAAAAAATAATTATTACTTGTTATTTTTTATATGCTTTTTTGTTAAAAATAAAACAAAAATGTCATTTTTAAATGCAGTAGTAAATAACTAGTTTTCTGTTTATTTTACCAATTTCATTTTTTCTTCAATACAATGGATTAAACATTTTTTTACAAGAAAGTTTTTCAAAATTGCCAAAAAATAATATTAACTAATTTTAAAATAATTAGATATGTTTCTCATACATAAATTATAATGCAAATTTTTGGTTATAATTTAAAATCCTAATGACTAATAGCTAAATTAACTTTTGAATGATATTAACTTTTAAATTTTTGATTGTTGGCAATTAAAAGTTAACTGCTTTGAATAATGAAATAAAAGTAAAAAAATTTAACTGGTTTATAACTGAGGAAAGCCACCTTCAAAAGATTCCATCCCCCCACCTCCTATTGCCGCAAAAAAACGATACCCGTAAATAAACTTTGAATTTGTTACAGTAAATCAATTGAAATACTATATGTTCAATACTTTATTTACTTTATATAATTTTACACGGATTTAAACTAAAGTTAAAATAATATAATAATGTACAACACGCACAGCTTTTTGTGTCTCACTGACTACCCATTGAATTTTGTGTGTCACTAACGACCAATTGAAACAAGGATAAGAAAAAATAAGTGAAACATCAACTGACATGTTTAGGTTTGGGAGATAGTATATATGTAAGAGATCTATTTCTAAAAATTAACTTAAATATGAAATGAAAAACTTGAATATCAAAACACAAGTATATAGTAAAAAATAGTTATGCAAACAATGATGCCACAATTATTAGCTTTATTAAATAAAATATACAAAAGCAACACTTAGTACATTTTGTGGATACTAGGTTCTAATCATTGAAAGGCATGCAGTCTCTACACCATGATCATATTTTTTTATTTGTGAGTAGATTGTGTCACAGCAAACACTATTTTTTTTAATTGTTACATAACGTTATTTAGAGTGTGTATTTTAGTGTGGCACTCCTCTGGAAAGAAACAAGATTTTCGACCAAAATTTATGACATATTACTCTTTAAATTTATTACTCTTTAAATTTATTACTCTTAAAATTTATGACATCACTCTTTAAATTTTTATTAAATTAAAAATGTGTTAAAAGGAGCTTTTTTATGTATTAAAAAAGCTCCTTTTAACACATTTTTAATTTAATAAAAAAATACCGTGAATGTGTGGTAGTTTTTTAACATATTTACGAAATCTTCAAAACAATGTTTACAAAATCAATAACTCTTAAATCAAATTTTAAAGTGAACTTCAAGAGCTTCGTTTTAAAGTTCCAGGACAAAATATCATACCCATTATCAAAAATGGTAATAAAATTAAAATTTTTTTTTTTCAAATATCAACCCCTACTTCTATCTGCAAAACTCATGAGGACTCTGTAAATAATGCACAATATACTGAACATTGCATAATAAAGTAAACAACTCATAAGAAAGTAAACAATTCATAACGAAGAAAACAACACACATTTTATTAAACAACAAAAAAACAAATCTAAAAAAAATTAAACAACACATAACACAGTAAAAGAAAAAAAGTTTCATTATACTTGTTGAGAAGTAATGATATCCATAGCAACAAATTTATCAAAAGTATCCATAATAGTAGACGAAAAAATAGAAAAAGGCTGAAAAATATAAATAAACAATTAAAAAAATAACATCAGTAAACAATGTTTATAAATAACATAAATGTTTATAATGTTTAATGTACATTTACTGTTTAAAGGTCTAACACATTTATTAAATTGTAATAAATTTTAACTAAATTCAAAATAGAATCCCATGATGCCCCAGGTGGTACTACACTCAAATTGTTTCTCTACACAGCAACACCTTTATATATATATATATATATATATATATATATATATATATATATATATATATATATATATATATATATATATATATATATATATATATATATATATATATATATATATATATATATATATATATATATATATATATATATATATATGTATATATATATATATATATATATATATATATATATATATATATATATATATATATATATATATATATATATATATATATATATATATATATATATATATATATATATGTGTATATATATATATATATACATACATATATATATATATATATATATATATATATATATATATATATATATATATATATATATATATATATATATATCAGCCCTCGGAATTAGAAAAAAAATGGTTGGCAAATTATTGCCGACCTTAATCTAAGTGAGGTCGGCATCAGGTCAGCAGAAAAAATGGAAAAAAAGGTTTGACCATAAAACATAGAAAAAAGGTCTTTAGCCCAAGTGTCAAATTTAGATTACAGCAATTAGAGAATCATCATTTACTTCTTTCAATTTCTTACAAATAATATTGCTTAGTTTTGCTAAACAAATTTATCATGCATCATTGATATGTGCTGGATAAGTTTCGCAACAGTAAACTTCTTTAAAATATTTTCAAGGCTTGTGTATAACTTAGTTTTAGGTTTTATCTACTCATGCTAGGATACTTAAAAATCAAATGTGTCAACAGTTTTTGTTTTGGATATGAAACAATTTAAAAAGTTTTTTAAATTGTTTCATATCCTTGCATGCATTTGAAAAGAAACAATAACAATAACTATGATTTACAACTATTTTAATACTGTAATACAATAACAATAAATATTGTATTGCAACTCATCTTCATAATACCTGAAAAAAAAAATACTGCATTGACACACTACAATAATATTAAATATTGCATTGTAATTCATCTTTATAACACAACAATTTATTGTTATAGTAATAAAAAAAAAATTGTGCAAGTAATAATTAATGATTGATTCTATTACTATTTTATATAATAAATCATAATATGTAGGGTACCAGAATGATAAACTTGGGTAATTCCATTATACCATTCTGGCACCATTTTTGATTAAGTCTGAATATTAACATAATGAAGACTGGCTTTAATGTTTGCTTCAAATCACTAGCTTTAGTAGTAAAAACAACTGATTGTGCAAAAACTAATAGTGGCCTAATCTTTTAGCTAGATCTTCATATGTGGATGGTTTCTTTTTTAACACGGTAATGCTGGAATTTTTTAAACTGTTTTAGCTACTAGATATTCCTAATGGCTGAGAACTACAACAACATTACCAAAAAAGACTTAAAAACTAAAAATTAAAATTCTGCAGCTTCTTGTAACACCATAGCTCATGGATTTAGTAAACAGCTTTACTAAAGTCCGATCACGACAACGATTACTGTTCATAGTAGAGATAAAGACAGTAAAAACTTCATCTTCTTTAATTGAAATACTAACAACCCCTTTTGTTCTGTGCACTTTTAACATTTCAAGCGGTCATAAATTATTTGTTGCATGAAAGATGGTACCATCCAGCTGCAAACAAAATAACTAAACAAATTAAAAACTAAACACTTTTTATTTGGTATGGAGTAATTATTAAAAGAACATTTGTGAATAGTTATGTCATGTAATAGTACCAGTAAAATACCACAAGGACTGGAAAATTAAATTTTTGTTACAAAATTATCCTAAATTACCAATTTCAAATTCAGGGAATTTCTAATAAAACTATTATAAGTAAAGTTTAAAGGTATTGTAAACAGATAGTTTAGAAATTTGAAAAAATCTTAAAATAAGATATTTTGTGGTTCATTCTCGGAGTGTTTATTTTACCTAATTCAAAACATATTTCATACTCTTCAAACCATTCAGAAAAGTTCAAAAATAATCAGCTCAGGTATATCTTGCGCTTCTGAGGTAATTTTTAAAAAATGCTATAGATTGAATTAGCATAAAAAACTCTAAACTTAATAAAAATATTATTTTCACAGAAAACAGACATTTTTTTACTATTGCTAGAAACCATTGTAAAAAAGTTTTGTCAAATGCCCACTATTCTCAGGCCATGAAATCTCGTACTTCATCACAAAAATTAGGCTTTCATGACTTCTGGAGAATTTTCAACAGTGTTTATAATAAGGGTAAATCTTTTATAACACCTCTCTTGTATAATTCAGTTTTTGTCATTTCACCTAAAGACAAAACTAAATTGTTTGCTAAGAACTTCATCATCATCATCTCTTGATTCTACTAGTTGCGTTTTACCTGATATAGCCAACAAACAGGTTAATCCAATGGTTGATGTTCATATCACTCCAGCTTCTTTATCTAAAGTGATATCCTTAGACTCTCCTACAGCTTGTGGTCTGGACAACATACCCGTTAAAACTTTACAGAAGTGTTCTCCAGAGCTATCCTCTATACTCTTAAAATTATCTAATCAAGCGCTTAACAGAGTCTTGTTTTCCAGCCTGTTGGAAAGCAAGACTCTGTTATCCCTATTTTTAAAAACTCTGGAGAGCAATCTGACTTGTCTAACTACCATCCAATTAGTCTTCTGCCTATCATAAGCAAGGTTTTTGAGTCTTTAATTAACAAACACTAAATCTCTCACCTGGAATCTAATAACTTACCTCCTAACAGGCTTGTGGAGCCAAGCCGGAGCCGTGGAGCCGGGGAGCCGCTGTTTTTTGGTGGAGCAGGAGCCGCAAAAATCAAGCGGCTCTCTGCTCTTGTGTTTTTTTTTAAAGAAATAGAATATATATTTTTTATTTTTTTACTCTAGACAAATTTTATTCATTTATTGTTTAACATTGAATTTCTAATTTTTCTAACAGTTTTGGTCTTGTTAAAACGTAATAAAAGTGACTATTTTAACAATTTTGTACTCAACAAAATACTATTCTTTAATAGTATTTCTTAATATGGTTTAGATATAAAAAAAAAAATATAATAAAATTATATATGGAAAAATTACAGCTTTATATTATATTTTTGTATTATATTATATCCTTGAAATTATACTTTTATACTGATACTTTGCTGTTAAATATTCGATGCGCCATTTAATGATCAAAAGTTATTCATATCTTTAAAACTTTATTAAAGTATGCGATCGTTAAACTTGAAATGATGATTTTCGTTTTAAAACTTGTCACTAACACATTTTTAATGTATTTTTTTTCGTAATTACTTTAAGTAATTGTAGTATTAATTAAAAACGTCAACAAACGAGTCAAAATGTTTCTATTTATTTAAATTGTGATTGAAACATCGAAAAAAAAGTCTGCACAACAATCTACCTAATTCTTTTTATTGTTACTTTCAATTGCTAAAGCATCTGAATCTAGCAAAACTATTGTTTGTATGGGCATAAAACAATAAATGAGCTCTCTATCTATCGAACGAGCAAAAGGATCTGGAAGAAAGTATGGCTTTAAGGATAAGAAAGCAGCAATTAGTATTCAACGATCATCAATAAAAACTCCGGCTTATCGAACAAAGAACAAGCCAAAAGGTATAAAGTTTTAGAGTTTTTTAAAGATTAAATTTTGGCAAGCAATATGCAGCTGTGGTTTGAGATCTTGAGCTTTTGTCACATCGTCAACTTTAAACTCGGATTTTTACATCAAAGAATACATGCAAACTAGACTTTTGCAATTTTATTGAAATCACTATGTCCCCTGTTAGTTCTGGCCTAATCTTGCTTCTTGTCATTATTTTAAGAAAATTGGTACAATTTGAGAAACTTCAAGTTCATACCAAAAAGCTTGAATCTATTAATCTGCACTGAGTTCCGCCCATTGAGACATTTTGGAGAATCAGCAAAGGATATTTGAGTAAGAGTGTCAAAACAATAAGTACAGCTAAAGTTTTGATTAGAGAGTTAACATTAGCAGGGGAAAAAACTGTAAAAAACACTGTGCAGAAGTTGATGTCGTCAATTAGCATAAATAAATGTTCGCTATTCAAAATATAGAAAAATATTAAAATAAAAAGCACTTTTATAATCTTCAAGTCCCTTAGATTAAAATAAATATTGAAGTTTTTGCATTAGTTGAACTATTTCATTTTTTTTTTTTTTTTTTTATTGTTTTGAATTTAACGATCGCATGTTTAAACCCAGTGGGCACAGGACACACAAAAGAGGTCTTTTAAACGTCTCTAGAAAGTTTTGGATGCCTTTTGAACGTTTTGGACGCCTTTGGGACTTTCAAAAGACATCTTTTTTAGGTACGTGCCCCTTGGGTAGAATTAGAATTAAAATTCGGACTAAAAACTCTAGTTTTGGGTATATAATATATAGAAAAAAAGTGTTTGTTTACCCAAAACATTTTTTTTTTCAAAGGTAATATTCGATAGTTGAGTAGAGTAGTGATAATAATACAATAACCGTGTTATCATGAGAGTTGGTTAAAAATTAATTGCTGTAGTAAGTATAGTTATAGGTCGGCAAATGTGATCAAAAAAATTTCCAAAACTTGCAATTTTTGGTCATAAAGTTCGGGAGCCGGAGCCGAACCAGGAGCCGAGCTGAAGCCAGATTTTTCTTAGGAGCTGGAGCCAGAGCAGAGCCGTAAAAAAAACAGTTGGCTCCACAAGCCTGCTTCCTAATCATCATTATGGATTTCAATCTTCTCATTCTACTACTAATTTGTTAACGGTAATATGTAGCTTAATAATGCTAGGTTTTATTGTGCATTAGATAGATGTTGAGAGGTTAAAGCTATCGCTCTTGACATTTCTAAAGCTTTTAATAAAGTTTGGCATACTGGTCTTCTCCATAAGCTTTCTTCTTAAGGTGTATCAGGTAATATTTTTAGGATTATTGAATTCTTCCTTACCAATCATAGTATAAAAGTTGTCCTTGATGGACAGCACTCTTCTTCATATCCTGTAACTTCAGGGGTTTCTCAAGGTTCTATCCTTGACCCTATAATTTTTTTAATTTACATTAACAATTTTCCAGAAATTCTCACAACTTAGGTGGCATTGTTTGCTGATGATACTATCATTTATTCTAGTCTTGATAAGAAACCAATACTCACTGATTGCTTGGAGGGGGCATTTGAGCTTGAAAAGGATCTCACTTCTGCTACAGAATGAGGCTCTCAGTGAGTGGTGAACTTTGACTTAAATAAAACTTTATCGCAATAATCTTTATCGCAATAATCTAGATCTTCTAGATTTATGAATGGTAATGTACTTGATAAGTCATCAACCTTAATCTTTTAGGATTAACTCTTACTTTCATTATCACATCATCGTAATACTGCTTCTCTTTCTTTTTTCTATAAATACTATAAGGGGTACTGCTAGTGCCATATACTAAAATTCATTCTCGTGTTACTTGTCATTCAATTAAGTCTCATCCTTTTACTGTGACTGTTCGTAAAAATCTAAGAAATTCTTGTTCATCTAGTTTTTTTTCTCGAAAATCATTTTTTTGGAATTTGCCTGTTTTCCTAATTCATATAATTTGCAATTTAAGTTGCCTGTCAATCGTTATCTTGCTCTATAAACTTCAACTTTTTTCTTCCAGTAACTTCCAACTCCAATAGTGGATGCTTGCAACCTTGTTGACCTTGTTGTTGCTTGCAACCTTGTTAAAAGTGAAAATGTTAAGGTAAAAAAAAAAAAAATTCAAGTCGATTTAGTTTTAGAAAGATTTATAATCAAAAGCAGTAAAAACTTTGATTAATATTTGCTTTTAGCATGTGAATAATATGTTTCTTTACACTGTCAAGCTTTGAGTTCTAGTTTTCAAAAGTTTAAAGCACAAATTTTAAAAAAGTACTTAAAATTGTGTGCCTCATTTTTTTTTAATATTAAGGCACACAATTTTTGCCACTATAAACTCTCACAGTTTGTAAACATTATAATGTGAAAATATAGTACAACAGAAAAATGTTTACAATTTAAATTTATTTTTACTTTTTTAGAGCTTCAACTAAGTATAAGACTCATTTAATGCCTTAGGATCTAATTTATGCATTAGGATCAAAAGTTGAACAACAAAACGACAGGTATAGTTTTTTTATTTTTTCTGATTTTGAATAAATATGATTTTAATTAATTTAGTTTTCTGAAGTTTAAAAAGTTGAAAGTTTAAAACTTAGAGTAATTTTTTTACACTGGTCCCAAAACAGTAGGTTAGTTTAATTTTTTTCATACATGAATGGTTAAAACCTAAGATAATCTGAAATTTGATCAATTTAAAACCTTAAACTTTTTTTACTTAAAATTGGACACCCTTGTTCATCTTTAAGTTATGTTATAAGCTGGTAAAATGGGGATCCTAAAGCAGACTAAATAATAATTGTCTGAATCTCTGGCACTGTGTCCACTCACCCATAAGTTACTCTATGTATGTTTGTGTTCTGTTTAAATCTCCGATGAATTGTGAACTCAGTAACCAACTAGCGACTCCAACTATAAAACCATCTCTCACTTTAATCTCTAGTATTTTTTTAGACATTATGTTTTTTCTAATGCATTTCCAAAATATTCCCATCAATATATATATATATATATATATATATATATATATATATATATATATATATATATATATATATATATATATATATATATATATATATATATATATATATATATATAAGCAAAGAATAATAATAAAAAAAAATCGATTGCTACCCCCACCCAAACTCTTAGTTGATATAGCAATAATTATATTTAACAAAATCTGGTCAAATATTAAAACATAAAAGCAGCCATTTTTGTAAAAAAAATTTCACAATTCAGCAAGTTGAATTTTATACATAACAGAAATAATGATGATGGCATAATAATGTTTAAAATATGTGAGACAGGAAATATTTATGTACAATAGAGATTTATCAAAGTACAAAATAAAGCAAGCAACATGCTCAATTAAAATTTCAATTTCTAACATTTCTGTTAACAATAGTTTAATAGTAATAGTATTAATAATAGTTTAATTTGTTAACAGAAATGTAAGCATTTATAGATAATACTTTCAATACTTACGCAATGGTAATCAAACATATATGAAAAAAGCTCTGCCAAAAACTCTGCATTTTCTATAACCTACATAAACAAAAAAGTAAAATAATATTAAAGAAAAATTTTCTTAATCATGCTTTATCTTTTAAAAAATTTAGTTTTTAAAAAATTTATCCTTACATATAATACTCATACAAAAATTAACAATGTCTAATATGAAAATTGTAATGACTAACATCTTTAACTAACTACTAAGAATATTTTGAAACACAGCTATCTAAGAGATAAGTTTAATTTTTCAGTTCATTTCATTTGGTTATGTTATTTACAGAGTGAATGTGTGTGTATTTGTGTGTGTCTTGTATTATACCAAAATGGTACAATACAAAACAAGACAAAACGGACAAAAACTTTGTTCATCAAAACCAATACAAAGCGAAACAAGACTTTATTTCAAAAATTGATATGAACCAAATATTTTACTGCATAAAAATCAGCAGATCCTTATTAAGCTAATCTAGCTAACCCAAGAACGCTACTTATATGGGGGTGATGGCATACACATCAAGGTACCCTGTGATGCAAATTTTGAAATCTTTAAATTTTTTCAGTGGAAAATAATTTAATCTGAATGTTCAAACTAAAAGAAATTCATAGAGCGACAATAAAAACACCTGTAGAATGAGAACCACTACATATAATTTGTTAAAAATTGGTGTAAATGTAACATATGGCCACACCAAACTCTGGATAAAATTTCAGTCAGATTGGTTTATTATGGTAGTTTTAGTTTATATTTTGTTAGTTTTTTGCTAATTAGACCTCAAAACGTTACCAATTACTGTGATATTCTATCATTATTTTTAAAATAAAGGTTACATGAGTGTTCTACTATGTAATATCAACATTATAATTGTTTTACTATAATTGTTTTATTGCTATTGGTTTATTATTATTTTATTGATTTGCTTTTTGAAGCATGGTTTTATTATTGCTACATGTAACATTTACATTCTATAGCCAAAATATTGATTTGCTTTTTGAAACATGGTTTGAATTAGCCTTTTGCATAGTGTAAATATCTCAACATTTCCTAATGTAAAAACCACTTTGTATTATATAGTATTAACTACTAAAGTATAAACTTCTGCCAAAATGCAAAAAAGAAGTGCTAAAAAAAGTGCAAAACCTGGGAAAAGGACTATTAGTTGGTAAAACAAAGCAAAAAAAAATGTTTCTGTTAAAAGAATTTATAATTTCCCTTGAAACCTTCTTAAATACAATGACTTTCAAAATGAAGTGAAAAAACAACTATATAAATCCTATCTTTTAATTATATTACCATCAAATAGCATCTGATTGAATTGTAAGAAATGGTCTTTGATTTTCTCCACAAGAAATTTATTCAAAATAGCTTAATATGCTTTTTTAGTCAAATACAATATTTTTACATGAAATTTTATAATTCATAATTACTAACAGCAGTTAAGGATTAAAATAATGAAAATGTTCATTATAAACCATAAGCTATGATTTTCTGTTGCTTAATAAAATAAATCTAATTATGGTAGCAGTTCTTTAAAGATGCTTACTGTTCAATTCAGTTATGCAGCATAACAATCTTTCTTTGTACTCTGAATGATTATATGGATCACATTTAAATTTATATTTATAAACATAAATTTAAAAATTATAAAATACAAAATTTAAATTCATACATTTTCAATTATTATATCAGTTTTTACAACTACTTAGTACTTTTACAATAAATTCCAATGAACTTAGTATTTAGTCTTACAATAAATTTCAATAAACTTATGCCATAAATACAACAAATTTAGATTCTTTTAATAAATTTAAACAAAGGAGTTAGTAAACCTTTCCTTTAGAAGATTTTCTATTTTTGAATAAAGTTTAAAACATACCTTGTGTTAATAAAAGGAGAAAACAGCTACTGACATTTCTTCCAGATTTTTTTTTATCATTCTTGATGGTTAGAATGTAGGTGGTGAGCAAGAGCCTAAGAGAGTTGGAGACCAACATAATCATCATGTTTGTCTTCAACTGCCTAATTTTCTACTTAGTTATTTGATAGCTACTTCTTCAATTTCTTCAAGTTTTTTAGTTTTTTGGCACATCATATAAGTAGTCAGTGGGATATTTAGATTTCAGGAGACTTAGTTCACTTATTATATTGATTATACTTAACAGCTGAGTTCTATAAAACTGGGTTTTGACATGGTTGAAAGATTGAGAACAACTTTTTGAATATCAGAGAGAAAAAACCAAAATGGTAATGGTAACCAGAAACCATTTATTCAACTGGAAATAAAATAATTTTCAGAACTAATTTAATCAATTTCAAAAATAGTCAATCAGACAGATAAAAAAAATTGGTATTATTTAGTTACTTTTAAATAGCTACTAAATACTGAAGAGACATATTCACAAAAAAATTGGTTATTTAAGTTGACTATTTAAGTACATTTAAAAGCATTAAAATATTTGAGGAAAGTAATAAAATTTTTAATCATTTTTTAATCACCACAAAAATCCACAAAAACCTCAGACTCTAAAACTTAATAATTTTATTTTATTTGTTTGTTTTAAAACAGATTTTAATATATTTAAAAACAAAAGAGTTTTTTTTTTGTTTTAATAAAAAACTGAAAAAAAAAAAAAATAATAAACTTCTGATAAGATACAAGAAGTCATGAAGAAACTTCTAAGAAGGTGCTTACTGATCATTACAGTAATGAAGATATATAATCAAAACTTAAAAAGATTTAAAATGTTATAAAAACAATTTTTTAATTTAACATGTTCACTGCCAACTACGAGTATACGTGTATTCCTTTTTTTTGTTAACTACAAGTATAGTCATAGAGTGCTGTGTACATAGTATAATTTTTTAGATCTGTATATTTTGATTTCTTCAGAAAATATTTTCAACAAAAACAAGACATTCAACAGTGGAGTTCTTAAATGTTAAGGAGCAACATTCCTTCTTTGTATATTATGCTTTAGGTATCTTCAGTAATAAAAGACCTAGTATGTATACATATAAGTCCATCATTAAGCCAGCCATGTTATGCTGTGTCTATGTCAGTCATATTATTGATTAGATTGAAATAAAGTTAACTTAAACAACTTAAATTTTTTTTTTGAACTTTTATTTAAAAAGCTACCGTCTGAGTCTTGAATGTAAAAGGTTCACCATATCCTTGTCGTAACTTAATTTCACCACCAATTGTTGAGATAAGGGAACATGCTACATAAAAAGATTATCATAAGTAAAAGACCATTTACAGCTTAAATTTTGTTTAAAGCATTTCAAAAATATAAAATAATAAAAAAAATATGTGATGAAAATCAAAAAATCCGTAACATGTGTACAAGGCACATATATTATGTAACACATGCAATCAAATTTAAGCTATTAGAAAATAACATAAATACCAAAACATAGAATTGTTATTTTTAGAAAAATTTGCTTTGATAATATATTATTGCAATCCTTATACAACAAGTTGCAACATGAATTCAAATTACAACATGTTACATTTAGATGTATTTAGTGTATTTTAATAAACATTCATTTGCTTTCTCAGTTTAATATGGATACTTTAAATTTAAAAACATTTAGAGGAAAAACTGGAAGATAAACTTTTGTATTTTTCAAACTAATTCACTAAGGCTGCAAGATATCACTAATTATGAGTCAGGAAAAAAATGACAGGAAAGAATTCCAATGCACAGATGTTCAAGGAAAAAAACTAAAATCAAAGTTTTTTTGCATAAAGGAAGTTGACGAGTCACGCGAGATTGAGTTTTGGTTAATAGAATAAGTAGATTGCCAGAGAGTAAGTTGTTAGGCTCAAGTTGAGATATTAGAAGTTTGTTGATTAAAGATTCTGTAATTTGCTAATAATAGTAAGAAGATTGGTTAATAGTTAAAGGAGTCAGATATCTAGAGTATCTAAAAATTGGAGCAACAAATGCCATTTTTCAACAAGCAGGAGAACAAGATGTCAAGCAAGCAGCAGAACAAGATTCATTTAAGCAAATGTTAAAATTTTAGAGAATAATAAAGAGAGTTCTGGAAAACACTTTTGTAAGACTGTAACAAGAATGTTATCCGGACAACAAGTTGTTGAAGGAATAAAGTCAGAAATAAAAGACACCTGTAGCAGGAGTGATTTTTTTCTCTCTAATTTTTAGTTTTTTTATTATTTTAACTTTGCAAGACTCCATAGGAGGCCAGTACAGTAAAGGAGGTTTTCTTTGTGAGACTACATCAAAGGCCAGTACAGTCAAGGAAATTTTATTTGTGAGACTCTTATGAGTCCAGAATAGTCAAGTAGGTTTTCTTTGTGAGATTCCATAGGAGGTCAGTACAGTAAAGGTTTTCTTTGTACTGGCTGTACTGGAGTGAGACACCAGTACAGCCAGTATCCCTACTCAATCTTTTTTTTATAGGCTGCTCAATCTTTTTTTTTCTTTTCATTATTTGGATGTATCAACCATTAATTATAGGTTGATTAATTATTGAATCTGTGAGATAACAGAAGAGAAATTAGATTCGAAATAATGATTTTTTGAGATGATAAAAAGAGCTACTAGATTTAAAAAATTAATTAGGGGAAATATTGATGAATTAGGGGAAATATTGGTCTGATCTCATTACTCCTTGGAAGGAGTAATAAGATCAAATCTATCTATGAGAGATGAAATGTTGGACTTGCCTTTTTTAATGTAACTGTTAAAAATTTTCAAAAACTTCTAGAATCTTCTGAGATAAAACATTATAATGATCTGAGAACAGACCTTAGCATCAGAGTGAGCCTTGAAACCAACAAGAAGACATTAGCATCAGACCTTTTTGTTCTAATTTCTTGCCAAGATAAAAGACATTTCTTCTCCATTTTTTCTTGCGGAAAAGATGAAAGAAATGATTACATTTTGAAATAACATCTTCACAAGTAATTGATTAAAATAGTGAGGCTTGAAACCAACAAAAATGTCTTTCTTGTTGGTTTTAAGTCTCACTCAAGGACTATCAATAAAAAAAAATCACAAAAAGAAAACAAAAATATTTTCATTTTAACTAGAGTTTCTCTTCCAGACAGAAACTATAATATTCCCAAATACAGTTTAGAAGTTTTGTTTGTTTCAAGGTAAGTTACTATGCAATTAAACTTAAAATGAATATTTAAGGCACAAAAATTTTATATATTGCCTCAAATTAGCCACAGTTGACCAGTTTTATGACCTTTTCTGTTAATTAGGTAAGTATTGATAAGACAAACATTTCAGAAAAAATAATGGCCTGATAATTACCACATAAGTGTACCATTTATGATCTAAAAACAGATTCATTTTAAGTAGTGAAATTCATTATAGAATTAAAATTAGGACAAACAATGCACAGAAACATTAAAATTTCTTGATAATGCAAATCATTATGGGATTGATATGATTGAAATCCAAAAAAATTACGAAAAATAGTATTTAAATAAAAAGAAGCAAAAACTTTTTTCCAACATTTTTCAAATTTGTGTAGAACTTTAATTAGTTGCACAAGTAAACAAACTGCATGTAAAGTACACAAGTAAACAAATTGTGTGTAAAGTAAATAAATAAACAAACTGCATGTAAAGTACCCAAATAAACAAACTGCATGTAAAGTACGCAAGTAAACAAACTGCATGTAAAGTATTCAAATAAACAAACAGCATGTAAAGTACACAAATAAACAAACTGCATGTGAAGTAAACAAATAAGCAAATTGTATTGAATTATAACAACTTTTTTTGTAAAGAGAACTTTTATAAATCAGACAAAAAGTGAACTTTAAAAATCAAAAAAATAAAAAGGTTGACCTGCAACCTAAATTATCAAAATCTTTCTTTATTGAATTTTAACTTTTATTTAAAAGATCAAAAAATTGTTTTTACCTAATATCGCTTTTGGCATCATGATCTGAAATATCTATAAAAAAACAAATTCAAATTTTTGAATTCAAGGATTGTCTTGTAATATAAATATGCTTTTTGTCATACTTGGTATAACAAAATGTTTATAATGTGGTAGTTGTGGGTTCCATTTTCACAATGCTACTGGTAGTATCATGCTCAACTTGTTTCTCTGTGCAGCAGCCTTGTTAATGTTCAAGTTGATGGGTTGAACTCACATAAATAATTTGCTTTATACTCTATTCTTTTTTAATTTTTTGTTTTTATTCAATTATACACTTTTTTGATATCAAAATTACAAATAAAACTTGATAAATAATATAAAACATTATTAGTATAAAACAATAATAATATAATAAAATATAACATAAAACATTATTAGTCCTAAATATATAATAATAATAAAATAAATAAAACATTATTAGTCCTAAAAAAAGATAAATAAAAACCTTTAAAGAATATGAAAATAGATGACAAGCTTTCATTGAATCATTAATTTGTGGTAAAACAATACCATCATTAACCAATAAAAGTGATTGGTTGCATAATACTTCAACACCATGGGCTGTTACAGATTCAATATCTCCAGAAAAACCCAAAAAGCTTCAGCAGTAAATAAAATTATTTGAATTTTACAAAAACAAAAGAATTAAAACTAAAGCTTAAAATGTAAAATGTGTAAAACTTACACGTCCATTGATTTTAATTCTTCAAGAATTTCTTCCAAAGCACATTTAAGTTTTTCTCTTGACAAACCTTTTCGATGCAGTACAAGAAAAATATAACTTAACAAATGAACAGGAAGAACTGTGCTTGCTTGAAAGAAATCTAAATTAAAAAAAATAGATGTGACAAAGTCAAGGTAACTGGAAAAAAAAAATTTAGTTTTTAAATCTTAATATTTTTGATGTATTTAGGAAGATTATAAAACTAAATTTTTATTTACATAAGTGGAAATATTATCTTTTTATAATTATTGACGGGCACAAATAATTAGATTTTATCACATTACTTCCTTATTTTACAACATAAAAAAATACATTATCATTTATTTATTTCAAAGAAATGCACATTAGAAAAAGAACACTTAATTCACAAAGATTTAGCAAACAAAAATATTGTTTACATATTCTGATGGTTAATCTGTTTTTATATTACAATATTTCTTAATACTTTTTATTCAATTGGAGTTTAAGTAAAAGTGAATGAGATGAAATAGTGACCAAAATACATAAACTTTTAATATATTTTTTTTAAATGTATTTTTTTTAAAGTATTTTAAGATTAAGCTGATTAAGTCACTATAAAATATCACTCAAGTTTGCTTAACTAAAAGCTCGCTTAACCATAATTCCATTCAATCAAATTTGTAATTTTAATAAATATAAAAGATGCATGTTTTTTTAAAAACCACTGCATAGATAAATGTTTATTACAAAATCTGGAAATACCTTAAAATTAAGTAATTTAAGTAGTAAAACTAAAATTAGTTTAAAAAATTTCAAAACTTCTAATTTTAAAAAATGTAAAAGTATATATTTTACTTTTAGATGTTTGGTACAAGAGGTAGATATGAAAAGAAAGATGGGAGGGAGAGAGAGATGAGGAAATAGTATTTTGAAATAATAAAAAAAAAGATTTGTAACAAAACTAGTTGTTTTGTAATTGTTTTATAACAATAATTACACAACAATTGTTATAAAAAAACATGAACTCAAAAAAATTAGCTCATTATCCTTAAAAATCAGTTGAGTAAACATCCTTTTAAAATTTTCTCAATCATGTCAACAGCTAAATTAACAGCTAGTTCACAGCTAAATCATTAAGCATCATACAATGTATTCATATAAATATAATTCATGAGTTAAAAAAATTTGTTTCAATGCTTTAAAGTATTAATTTTATTATAATATCAAAATATATAAATGTATAAATAAAAATTCTTTTAAAAATGAACAAGTTGAAACAAATTAAAATTTATTACAAGTATTTTTCAAAAATTATATGGACATTTTTTTTCAATTCATTTCTGAAGCTGCTGCCTACTCTAAGTCATATAAATTACCTTCCCTTCACTAGTGTTTTTTTTTTGTCATTTCAACATATTTAACAAAAAGAAAAAATAGTGATCTATTCACCATAATTTAGGTGTCGATTGATAAGGTTATTTTCTTCATCTTTTATATTATGCTCATTCATGTTATGAGAATGGTCCAACAACGACTAAAAAAAGACAATCATATTCATATTATTATTGAGCATGGACCTTGGGAAGATGAATATACATAATATACATACATACATACATACATACATACATACATACATACATACATACATACATACATACATACATACATACATACATACATACATACATACATACATACATACATATACATACATACATACATGTATGTATGTAAGAAATTTGGGTATGGACAATGATAAATTTTTATGGAATTTGGTTGCAAAAAAAAGTTTGTATATGTATATCTATATACACTATATATATATATATATATATATATATATATATATATATATATATATATATATATATATATATATATATATATATATATATATATATATATATATATATATATAATATATATATATATATATACATATATATATACATATATATATATATATATATATATATATATATATATATATATATATATATATATATATATATATATATATATATATATATATATATATATATATATATATATATATATATATATATATATAAAGATATTAAATCCATTGAGCTTGTTCAACATAGGGCCACAAAGGCCACTCACTTGCTTAAAAAGTTTGATGATGAAAAAAGATTAAAAATTCTTAATCTAACTATTTTGACAGATAGAAGAACGCGTGCAGATTACATTCAGCAGTACAAACTTGAGAATAAATTAGACCATGATAACTGGTATACTGAACCAGAAACTTTTACTCCACAATGAGGACCTCATAAATGCCAACATTAAGAAACTGTAAAAAACTGTGCACACTGACACAAATCTTTTACTAACAGAGTTGTCAAATTATATAAGATATAATAATTAACAATGACTGGTAATAAGCCCCTGATCTACCACATGGAACAGAACATGTACTCCTTGCAGTGTAATAATAATAAAAATAATTATATGTACATATATATATATATATATATATATATATATATATATATATACATACATATACAGATGTACACTCGTAGTCACCCGATGGCACCAGGCGACCGAATATTGTGAAGGGCGACTCAAAATACTTTTTTTATGCAATCAAGTCGCCCGAAAGGGCAACTATTGATTTTTATCAGCAGTTCTATTTTTTTGTGTGCGTAATTTAAGAGATTTAAAATATGCAAAGTAACTAATGCAATAAGTAACTAAAATTATAATGAAACTCTATTTTAAAAGTCACAATGCTAAAGTTTGTTTACCGCAGTTTCTATTGTTAATTAGAACAAAATACGAGTAAAATAAAAACAAAAAGGTTTTATCGTTTAAACATTTTTTTTTTTAATTTAATTAAATTTTAGAGATATGTAATAATTTAAAAGATAAGTAATAGAAGTAAATTTGTCCAAAATAATACTAGAAGAGAAATACTTATATTTATATACATATTACAACATTTGAAATATTTTTCGAAAATCTACATATACTAAAAAAAAAAAAAAAAAAATTTAAAGAAATGACTAATGACTCTAGATTGCGTCTGGAAAGGCATTTTAATTAGTACTTTAAAAACTAGTTACTACAGTAAGCACTTTTAAAAACTAGTTACTACTGATCATTAAAAATTTAGTTCAATTTACACCATACAAATTACATTTTAAATTATAAATAAATTCCAATCCCGCAATTATTGTGAGACCAGACAGTCTCCAATTATTTAAAAACAATTTATTTAACCATCAAACGTATATTATTTTAAACTATCTCTAAAATCTGTTTAAATAGAGTAGATATTTATTTCAGTTCCAATCATTTTGTTTACAGTTAATTTGATTAATAATTGAGTTTATAAATAAGATAAAAAAATTCACGTAAGTTGCAACGTTTTTTTTTATTTTTCAATGTAATTTATCGTGATGATTATAAAAGTAATTTCTATATTATCATTTATATTATTTTATATTAATTTCTGTATTATCATTTATATTGTATTATGACATCAGACTTTTTCACTGCACGTAAAAGAAAACTCAAATCTGTTAGTCTGACCAGCGCAAGCAGCAATGATGATCAAAGCAAATATGAAAAAATGAAAAGAATTCAAACAATTCAATCGTCATGGTTAAAAGAATATCCTTGGCTTAGGTACAACAAAATTTTCGAGTTGTATACAGAAGGGAACAAAGAATATTAAAAGGTTTCTAACAGAATTAAATAAGGAACGCAAAAAAAAAAAGAAAAGATCAGGCATACGATGATTTCGAGGATGTCATGATTTGCCTAAATTGCCGGGAGAAGTATTATCACTCCAACCAATTAAAGGAAAACTACACTCCATCAAAAAGCAAGATCAAACAACTTCCATTTATATTCGGTGCTACATCGTACAGAATCGAGAGTGTCACTAAACATTACAAACCCACAAATACACAGCATGTCCTCGCGATGGATAAACAAAAAAAATTAGAAAAAGAAAAAAATAATAAGTTGAGTGAAGCTCAACAAGTCAAAACAACTTTGTTGGAAGCTCAAAAAATACATTTGCAACATTTGTTTTGAAACATATATGTTGTATTAAAGGAGGGTAAGCCATTTTCGGATTACGAGTTTACAGTAAGATTGAATAAAACCAAAGGTGTGAATATTGGTAAAACATATCACAATAGACAAGGTGGTGTAGATTTTGGAATGGCAATATGAGAGGTTTTTTTAAATGAGTTTAGAATGGAATTCTCCAGCGCTAAATTTTTTAGCATTATTGTAGAGTCTATTGATGCCTATAGATTGGAGCAAATGGTTATTTACCTGCGCAATTCAATTAATGGAAATATCAAAACTAGATTTCTGGCAATAGACAATGTTACTCAACCTAACGCATTGCAACCGACAGTCCTAATATTAAAACTTTTGAAAACCAAAATCCGTTGGGATCCTCTCTGGGAATAGCTAACACTGTTGAAGATCTAGAAGACAAATCGAACGGCGAGGAATTAGTACATATAGAAGATGAAATATCTCAACTATTTAACAATAGTGACAACAATAACGATGAATGCAATTTTGAAGGTTTCCTAAGTGAAGAAGAGCCAGACGACTACAATAATGAACTGATAGTACATGCAGAAAATATAGCGCCTCTAATGGTAGGTTTAACTACAGATGGCGCTAATGTTTTAACTGGACAATGTTCAGTAACAGCTAAAAAGTAGGTGCAACAATTTTCTCACTTACACACATTGTTTGCGTTGGAGAATCTTCTCAATGGTCTAAAAGCGCATATTCATAGTTATACCACTATCAGCTTGGAAAGCGAACACAGAAATCAAAGACTAAGTTCTTTGCAAAGAAATTGGTTGATCAGCACTTTATGTCGACGGCGATCTATATTCTTGATGTGTGTAGATTTTTAAGAGGTATTAGTAAAGTTACAATTTTTTAAGAGGTATTTGGAAGGTTTTTTCAGAGTATTAATTCACCACAAACAAAAGTTATAAGCTTTATAAATAAACAACAAAAAAAGTATATATTTAATTAGGTAATATGTGAGTTTATTGTAACATTCACGGCTGAAAACAACAAAAAGTTTTTACAACAAAAATATGCTAGACAATAACATAAAAGCCCTTATTGACGACGATATGCTGCGTCAACAACTTGAATGTAAACGAGTAGATGTTAGAAATATTTTATCTGAGTGGATAATATTGAAGAAAATAATGGCAACTTGGACAAGTGCAAGTTCAAAATCATTTCCACCGCTATCTTGGTCACAAATAGCGACTAATATCAAACCAGATAAATTTGCTAATCTTTTTTCTCTGATTGATTTTTTATTGTGCCATAACTCAAGTTCGGCAGACACGGAAAAAGGCTTTAGCGCAATGAAAAACATTAAGTCATTTCAAAGAACACGAGTCAGTAACAAGTTATTAACAATGCAATTGCGCATCAAGATTGATGGTCCAGAAATGGAAATATATGATCCAACAAAAGCCATTAAACACAGGCTTTTAAAGCCATCACGAAAAAAATAAAAATGGCATCAATCAAAAAAGAAGAGTTGGTTACATCGACAACAAAATTCCAGTTGTGTCAGTTGAAAAGTCAAAGAAAATAAAGATTTTTGCAAGTAGCGATGATGACAGTGATAGAGCTGTAACAATTGATACGATATATAATAATTTTGAATCTTATTTATGTTTTTATTTTGTATTGTTTTTTACCTTTCAAAATATAAATAGTTTTTCTTGTAACAAATAAGATCGTAATAATTACAACACATTAAAAGCAAAGGGTTTTAAAGTATTTGTAAATTTGTTTTTTATATTTGTCAAGAGTTTTTTGTTGTAAACGAATGTCTATTTTTTTATAAAATGAGCGCTCAAATAAAGTTTAATAATATAATGGCATGTGTTTTATTTGAAAGTAGAAAAGCGAATTTTATCAATAGTTTTCGATATTACTTTTATTTGCGCAAATTGTTTTAGTGTACATTTAGCCATATAACAAAAAATGACTAAAACACGCAAGAACTTCGCTAAGTGAAATTTTTTTTTTTAAATGACAACAGGCGACTCAAAGCATTGACGGGCAACCAAAATTAACAAACTGGTTAGTTTCAGTCGCCCTTCTGGCGACTGACCAAAAGTCTAAGTGTACACCCCTGATATATATATATATATATATATATATATATATATATATATATATATATATATATATTTGTATAGATTTCGATATATAGAATATATTCGAGGTTAAGTATTTTGACGTAAGAATACGAAGTCTCTTGTACGTGTTACAGTGCTCAATATTACTAAATAATAGAGCTATATATAATATATATCAGATAACGTCAGTTGTCATTCTACAGTAATTTTTACCTTTTTGTGACGGTTTGTTTACGTTTTTTGTTTGTATCAACGGCTGATGATTGCCTTCGGGCATGAAACTTTAAGTCCCGCTAATCAGTTGTTTTTATTCATCTAAATATAATTATATATATATACATATATATATATA